CTCATCTGGAGTACTGTGTCCAGTTCTGGGCTCCCCAGTTCAAGAAAGATGAGGAGCTACTGGAGAGAGTCCAGCGGAGGGCTACGAGGATGGTGAGGGGACTGGAGCATCTCTGCTCAGCAGAGGCTGAGGGAGCTGGGCTTGTTCAGCCTGAAGAAGAGAAGGCTGAGAGGGGACCTAATAAATGCTTATAAATATCTCAAGGGTGGGTGTCAGGAGGATGGGGCCAGACTCTTTTTTCAGTGGTGCTCAGCGACAGGACAAGGGGCAATGGGCACAAACCGAAGCATAGGAAGTTTCAGGTGAACATGAGGAAGAACTTCTTCCCTCTGAGGGTGACGGAGCACTAGAACAGGCTGCCCAGGGAGGTTGTGGAGTCTCCTTCTCTGGAGATATTCAAGACCCACCTGGACAAGGTCCTGTGCAGCCTGCTGTAGGTGACCCTGCTTTGGCAGGGGGGTTGGACTAGATGACCCACAGAGGTCCCTTCCAAACCCTACCATTCTGTGATTACTTCTGAACCCAAAGAAAAGAAAGCCTCATTTTTTTCTTTCATATTCTAATCCAAGAAGCATCTCTCTCCGAATCATCCTGCTAACACACTGACAAGTTACTTACACAGCCTCTTAGTTAGAATCCCATCCTCATGTAGAAACCCCAACTGTCAGTGCAGCTTTCATTGCAGAAGCATATCTTTATTTTTATATATGCAAAGTTTGTAATACCTGTATTGGCACGCAACCAACTATTTTAATGTTAGGTAAACAGTCCTTTCTCCTCCCACTGTGTGACTTCTTTACATATTAATAGCTCTATTTCATACAAACATAAATTGGTTACCATATTTTTAAGCGTACACAACTGAGAAAATAATTTGGTTGATTACTGCCTTTTCAATTAAGACTAGGTGTAATAGCATCTCATTTGAGTGGAGTGCACAATGCTATTTGTGAGTTTTGGTATCATGCTGTGAGTGTTTGACTTCTACATAAAAAGAACGAAACCCAAAAGAAAAGTACAAATGGAAACAAAGAAATAAAAATGTCCAGGTATAAATTTATGAAAATATAAACAAATATAATCAACTAGTCATTTTCCTAGTAGACCATCTGGGAGATGGTACCTGCTTTTTTCTGGAATGAATTTCACTATTAGCAACATTGTGTCTGCAGCCTGAAGTTAAGTGAATCCCTGATCAAAAAAGACAGACAGAACTGCCAAGCAACAGTTTCAGCTCAGTTGAAACAACTCAACAATTCCATCAACCTTACAAAAGTGCAATCAAGGATGACCTCCATGTCTTATAACTGTTTCTTCACTGATGGATCCACTCCCTGAGTAACAGCATGTAGAAACTGGCAAGTTTCGGAAAAGTACTACGCTGCTCACAAGCGAATTCTCAGTTTTGTCTGAGTTACTTCAGCCAGCTGTCGCTAATGCTACAGAACTGTCAGCCAGATGGATGAGAGCTGACCGTCCCGAATGGGCTGAACAAAGAAGAGGTCTAGGCTAATGTGGTGCCATCACACTGATAACGCTGAAATCCATGTCTCCAGATTCTTGTCGCTTTTGGTTTCATGTACAAACCTAAAAAGCAGAGGAGACCCATTAAGTCCCTCTGAGCTCTCCAAATGCAACATCAAAATCCACGAGCATCATAGCTGTTTGACAGAGAATCACGTTGTCTATGGTATTGGTGAATACTCTTAAGTAGTGATAGAGTTTTTTTTTCTCCCCTGCGGGTAAAGGGAATTTACAAAAATGTAGCAGAACTTATTTTTATGCTGAATCCTTTTCACAGTCTGCGCACTAGCCCAACTTGCTATATACATTTTTTTTTTTTTTTTGCTTATAGTTCACCACTAGTAAAGCATTTTCATACACTTTAATTCACCTTTGAACATAGTGCAATTGCTCTGAAAGCTTTCTATAAAGCTGATAGCACTTTGGCTAGTATTTAAACATTTTGCTTTTGAAAAGGTACACGATCCTGTTATTGATACTGGTTTACGTGAATACACTGGACCACAAGCAACAGCAGCCCACAGTCTGTTTTGTGTGCGATTCAGACAGCTACATGCAGAGCTGTTGGCTTTCAGCAGACAAGCAGGGAGCAGCCTCAGCCACCTGCCTCTATCTTACGGCAGTCGCTGAGCCAGCCCCCAGTCCAGGCACACAGGCAACACCCAGTGCACCAGGGCAGCAACACTGGCTCCCAAATGTCCAGTGCAAGCAAAGGCACAGACAGCTGACACAAAGAATAAAGAAGAATTAGATGTGCATTGGAATAATCATACTTTTTTTTTTCTTAAACTAATCAGAGGTGAGGAGAGATCAAAATGCCTACACAAGCACACAGATCTTAAGACTACATAAAATGCAGATAGAAGAATTCAGCATAAAGGGACTGTGAAAGGCCACAGCCAGTTAACTCGTTTACTGAGCGCTCTCCTTCACAAGGAGCTTTACTACCATTAAGCACAGAATTAACAAAAATCGTGCAGCATTGTTTCCTTCAGCACTTTTTTTGCCTGAATAAATTTATCATGGCATGGAATCGTGGTGCCATCTACTGGCAATTTCCAGTGCTACACTAGAAACGTTTACTTGAGAACAGAGACAGTAAAAGGTCAGGATTGCAGCCTGGATTCAGTGACAGCCTTTGTACTCTCCTGAATGTAGGATGCCCTGGGAGGGTCCTGCTTCTGGCTTGGGGCAGGAAGGTACGCAGGCCACCATCTTGACTTGCTCCAGAATACCACTGTGCTTCCAAACGATCACCCGTCAGCATTCCAGATTATTGCCCTGCACTCCAACAGACTGTTGCATGTTGGGGCACGAAATACCCTAATCACCTGTAAACTCAGTAACTGTCAGAATAATCCCTGCACCTCCAACGCATCCATCCCCACAGCATGGAGTCAAAACGTACAATTGAAGACTTCTCCATTCCAGAGAGCTAACCTTTATCTACCCCTTTGTTTGCTTTCACCTCAAGTTGACTGGACAAACTTCATTGGAAATTGTTGAGATTCAGATGCTTTCCCCAAGGTTTTGCTGTATGCTGAGAGCATCCATCAACAGCTGAATCATGAAACAGGTTTCTTGTACCCTGACACTCTGCATTATCAATTCCCACACTGTAGAGCTTCGTGAAGAAGCCTATTTGCCTTTTCCTTAAAGATGCTTCCTTAAAGGCAGACAGACACTGGAAGATCCAGTGTTCCAGTACCCAGGATTGTCCTACCTTCAGTCATACTTGATACTTCTCTTTCAGGCTTGCCTTACTTCCATTTTCCACCTTCAACTTCAAGACTTTTTTCAGGAATGAATTGTTTCCACCTTTCTGATAATATATGTCCAGAAACATAAACACGATACTACTTCAGTACACTCTTCATAGGAGTTAGCAAATGCTGACATTGAGATTGCCAGATGGTAGCCCGTTTTGTCTGGTGGCAATTGACTGAACTCATATTTCATCATTTCGTGGAGGAAACTTTATTATTAGTTTAAGTGCATGAAAAAGGAGAATAATTCTCCTGCTGTAAAAATTTCCAGACTGCCCTCTTGCAAGCCGGGTGTAACATGATGGTAACCTGGAAGCTGGCTTTACAGTACTTTGACTTGCAGTCCTCATCCGCTCCTGTTCACTGTAAGAATTGTCCCTACATCTCTGTTAAGCAGAAATTGCGCTTAAACAATGCAAGCAGCATGTTTAAGAACTACAGCATCCATTAATCTGACTATGTAAGAAGCAATGCCACACAGAACGATGCTACACACGTCCTCAGATTCCTATGTTGTTGTCTGTACGGACACCATGTGTAATCACTCACGTAAGGCTAGAATGACACATCACTGTGACATGTAGTTTCCAAAAATACAAGCAGTTTAAAACCCTTATTTCCTGGTACGCAGTCTAAATGCTGTGGGGTTTTTTTACATCTAGATACTACTTCGATCATGCCACAAGGTGGCCTCCAGATTATACAGCGCTATTGCATCCTTTACAGAATGACACATGGAAGTATTTTTTTTGCTTTACTGCCGTACTGGTAATAGACCACCACAAAACAACCTTCCGTTCTTTGTATTTCGAGCTCAACAAGAAGTTCACAGGCTGTGTAGAATTGGTTCGCATCAGTCAGAGCAACACACAGCGGCTGCTGTAGGATCTTCTACCAGAGAGAATCCTCTTCAGAAACCAAGTGACATGTTCCCAGTCAGAGCAGGTCTGCAAGCTGTCTGCTCTGCAGAGTCTGGGAAATCCTGTGTCCGACATGCAAAGGGCTGCTGCAATTCAGACAGCCTTAAGGAGTTGCTTAAGTTATGCTATAGTTGGCTTCTATGCTAGGAGAAACTGAAGAAAGAAAGGCCAGAAGTGGCACAGTCCAACTCCTGGATGGAAGTTTAGGCACTTCCTGCCCATCATGAAACCGTATGCTGGTTTTCAAGGGGGCAATTGCCCAAAGGCCACTAAAGATTGTTTTGCAGCATTTTTGTTTTTTTTTTTTTTTTTTTTTTTTTTTGGGGGGGGGGTGTCTATCTTGCACAATTTATAGAGGGAATTTTAAGTATAACAGTGCAATTGTAATTGGAGCACCATTTTCTAGATGATAAACATTCTCTTTGGTGTATTAAGTATGTTGCTACAAAAACTTTTACAGTGTGTACTGTTAACAAACCTGGATTCAAACTAAATATGAAGGTAGTAAAACCTGTGCACTTCTATTTTTTGAGAAAGCAAAAGAAACAAAGCTGCACCTTCAACTCATTCTCTCACTTATAGAAAAATTACAGTGGCTCTGAATTTAGTTGACTATTTCTTGGTCTCAGAAATGAAGAAATGTTTCTGTGGTGCTTTGTTTTTTTTCTGAAGCTATAGGTACTCCTACTTGCTTTTTTTTTTTTTTTTTTTTTTTTTAGAACAAGCACATTCTTGAGAAGCTGAGAACTGCAACTCTCCTTGGCTTTTAGTTCCTCTGTACATACCTTCCTTGTACAAGACTGGCATTCGATATCTATAACCTCACATGTGCACAGCTGATACCTGAGGGAGTTTACCAGCTGCTGCTTCTTTGAAATTCAACACTTGGAAGAATAACTGCTGATAGCTTTTTTCCTATTGTCTTGTTTCACTGTATTTGCCTGTGATTCTTCTGTAACTATTTTCAAGCTATTATTTAAATAAGTAGCTCTTGTTCTTCTACCCTTAAATATTTGCCTTGTTTATCTGAATGAAATAATTTGGATTTGCATTACACCTCTGTTACACTGTAAGAAAGCTAAATATGAATCCTGTTTTTATGTTTAATGTGCAGTATTATTTGTGTGGGCTTTTATGCTGAATCATCAGACTGCGCAAGTGAAGACTTGCCTTGATCAGCCTGAGTTAGTACATCAGAGAACTGCTCAACTGAGCCACTGTGGTGAATGGCACACATTAGCTATCATTAATCAATGGCAAACAAGCTAATTTTCTGTGTCTTCTTACATTGCTATTCCATGTGTTAACAGCTTCATTAAAGCATTATGATTAGCAGCTTTGCAATAAGTAGTAGTATTTCCTGTTTGACTCAAATACACCTATGTCAACCTTAGACTAGAGGTAAATAAGAGTCCTGTGGGAGTACAGCGATTCTTTCTATATTAATACTTTTTTTTCTTTTATAGTTCAACCTGAAGCAGGATTTGCCATTTCTCAGAATGAAAACCATTTCTCAGATCAGCACTGTGGAGTTAAATTAAGTAATTTTTACATTCACAATACAAGCTTTATCATATAAAAATCTTTCAAATTGCAGCATTAAGTCTTGTACTTGCTATATAATTCATGGGTTTGGATGCCTACATTTTTTCCCTCCTCAATTTTTTGAGCTATGTAAGAATGGGTCATTTTTACATTTCTCATATAATAGTTTTGGAAAAAAATAGTAGTGTAAGTCACCTTCAGATACCTCTTTTCCCCCTCCAGCTACTTGCTTTCATTATTTGTAAATGTATTCAACAGCAGGCTTCCCTGGGAAGCTCTGTATAATGTCTGGTGAAATTCACTGGAACCAGTAGCTTTGCCACAGATAGCAGGAGTCCTGAATTTAATTTTGTATTTTGCTTTTAGAAGTCTTATTTTAGGTAAATGAAACAACAGTGACCCACATAAAGATTATTGCAGGATTTGATTTGTAAGCTTTTACTGTCTCCTGCAAGCCTAAAGAACTCAGCAAAGCATCTTAGAAGTGGGGTTCACTCCAGGTGACAGATACTCTAGCGTCTAGTTTAGAATTACTTTTTGCAAAGGTAAAGATGTGCTTTTAGATACTGACATGTCAAAATAAGAAGTATTGGCAAGGGGAAGCAAAATCAAATAACTGCCAGGGCTACTTTGCATTCATGCAGGAGCTGGGGGGGAAGAAATAAAGTTCATAATCTCTCAGCAAATACACCAACAAACCGACGGCCCAGGTAATACCTGTTTAGGAAAGAAGAAAAACCAAACCACACAACAAACTAGAGAAACAACGACTAGTCTCCTACTCTCTTAGCAGAGGCGATGCAGTGTCTGAAGCTCCCATGGAGCAGCAGACCAGGGAGCAGCACTGCAGCCACTCCACACGTGCCACAACTCTGCACAACTGACTGCTGGCGGTGCCATGAGGAGAAAAAGCAATATACGAGACAGTAGCTGTGGTTGAGGCTGGGTTCAAATACTCCCTAAAGCAGTAATCACTGCTTATATTCCTTTTAACTCACCACTGGACACAGGAGCAAAAGGTAAGGCTTGCTGGAGCCATCTGACTCAAATTAGTTCTTCCTCTCACTCAGGTCCCTCATTGTTGAGATGGTAACATTCAATTACACTGCTGCAAAGCCACCACAGTGACACTTTCATCAAAAAGTGCAATGCTCCTAAACACCTGTGAAGATACTATTTCAGACAATTAAAATAAATTCAAATTCTGAGTATGTTTCCTGGCCAGAAGACAACTTCAAATAAGTGCCTAAAAAAACCTGACAGTTATTCTGAACACCAGAAACCTGTGGGCAGCAGTGTCTTGGAGATATAACTCAGAGCTAACAGATAGCACCTGCTCTATGAGGTATGAAAAACAGCATAAGGTTAATGATAATCAAATACTACAAGGGAACCACAGACCAATCCATTTTATCAGAAAAAAGTGTTAATGAGGATTAACTATGTATAAACAGATTTCTCAATACAGGGATTACAATCAGGGTTTAGATCTGGTGAGTTTATGGAGGAAAAGGTCTTGCAGTTCTTTCATCTAAGCAGAATTCTTGGTATGAGAACTGTTTCATCCAAACCAGACTCAAGTGAGTCACTAGAGGCTAAATTCTCATTTTCCAGAGCTCAGAGAACTATTAAATGGGGAGGCACATACCAGAAGTATGTACACCAAAGCCTGCATACAGAAATGCTGAAATACGCCTCGTCCCCAAGGTAAAGGCTGATGTTAGCAAGCTGCCAGTTGTGAAGACAGCTCCAAGGGTGTTCTCCTATTTACAGCCCTTCAGAGCAAGGTGGCTGAGGTCATGTACCAAATATTTACCCAATCTAGAAAGCAAACTGCTAAAACACAATGCACTAATCCTAAAAATTCATAACATCAGAAAGCCCTCATTCAGAGAGGCATTCTTATGTACTTTTTTTTTTTAATTAAAAAAATGGGTGGCAGCATTTGTTGTCGTCTTGCCACAGCACTACTTTATGCTGGAGACAAGCAAATTCTAGTTTTTCATTTGGATGGGGTTTGGTTCTTTTGGGGGGGAGGGTGGTGGTGGTGTCCTTTTCTTTGGTTTTTAGCTTTAGTAGCAAGCTTCTCCGTTCATCTGGCAAGCAACTAATACTGCTTTCTGAATCAAGTTACCAGATGGAAAGAAACCCTTAACAGGTATTAAGAAACACGCCACCAACAGAAGCATCAACACACTGGAGTGCAGCAGGAAGCGTAACAACGGTACTTCTGCACAACAATGAGTGCATACATGTGCTTGCACAGCACTGTGCAAACAAAGCTAGTAAACATGTCCTCACTCTGCCCAACTCCCTGATCATTTTCTGTGGGGTCAGAAAACCACCCTAAAAGGCCCAGGTTTGCAAAAAATGAGAATTCAAGGAGATACCAACAATTTGCAGTCCTGTATTCAGAGGGGGAGGCCAGATGGGTGAAGAATAAAAACTCATACAAACCACGCACCTCTTAAGCACGATTGCTCCATAACTAGTCACCAGTCTGCCATTTCTAAGTGTTCAGAACTGTAGGTGCTTTTAATTAATACTTGGTAGAATATTTATGTTTAAAAGCCATTTATATACATACACACAAATGCACCTAGTGCAACAGCTTCGTCTTAAACCTGGTAACTAAAATAGTCACATCAACATGCATCATTCTGCTTCGAGGGTAATGTAAGGGGTAAAAAACTGGTAGCATCCACAGTTGCCATGTGTTACTCAGAGGTAT